GCCCGTGTTCTCGCCTCCGAGGGCGAGGGGCGCGCGAAGTATAAGAGAAACGTCCGCGCCCTCGCCCCGGATGGCGAGGGACGGGAAGGAGGAGACGCATGTTGCGCGTCTGCGCCCTATCCAACGAAGGTGAGGGCCGCGCACGAGGAAACACGGACGCGGCGCGTGCTTGCCCTCGCTACCGAAGGCGGGGGCGCCCAGAACAAAACGTACGTCGGACATCCGCGCCCTCGCCACCGAAAGCGAGGGACGCGAGAAGGATAAGGGAAACGTCCACGCCCTCGCCCCGGATGGCGAGGAACGCGAAGAAGGAGACGCGTGTTGCGCGTCTCCGCCCTCGCCACCGAAGGCGAGGGGCGCGCATAAAGAAAGACGTACGCCGCGCTTGCGTGCCCTCGCTCCCAAAGGCAGGGGCGCACAGAACAGAACGTGCGTCGCCGGGTCCGTGCCCTCGCCTCCGAAGGCAAGGGACGGGCGAAGGATAAGAGAGACGACCCCGCCAGTCCGCTCCCTGCAGAAGCACACCCCTGCACGGTGATGAAGGGCGTGCGACGAAGCGCAGTGAACGTGCGAGGACCTGACGCCCCCACAGCGTGCGATGGCGAGGAGGAAAGGGGCCTGGAAGATCATAATACCCTCCACCGCCGCCGCGCCACATTCGACAGCGCATGCCGTGGCCCCGTGATAGGGATCAAAACGAAGGAGCTCGGGAGGCGGGCTGAACGCCCACGAATAGGCACTGCACGCCGCCTCTCTCGCCACCAAGAGACGCAAGAGCAACACGGTCGAGGGCCCGGTTCGTGGGGTAGACGTGTGGGACGGGAGGGACGTGAGCGCAAGGGCGCCGCGGAAAGGGACGCGAACAGGAGTCGTGAAAAGAAAGGACCGGGAAGGCAGGGCGAGCAATACGCTGACGCAAGGGCGATGGGCCGTGAAAGTTGAAGTGCTGCGGAGGGAGCTACGACCGCAGCTCACTGAAAACGGAAAGCAGAGCACCGGCACCGAGCACGGACGGACAGGGGATCACGAGGGCGGTAAGGATGGCTGTCGCTCGGCTGCGAGGAGGTCACGGACAGTTCTACAAAGACCTGTGGATGCGGACGTCCACACTTGAGAGGGGGGCCATGTAGCATATCCCCCTCCCGGAATTAGATTTAGATTAGATTTGTAACTGTAAAGCCCGAGCTCTACAGTACCTCAGTGCGCGCGCACACGTGTACCCCACGTGTACGGGGGCGCGCGCACACACGTGTACGACACGTGTGCTGCCAGCCCCGACGGCTGACAGCACTGCAGTGCAAGCCGACCTGCACTACTGTAATGTTATGATAGGTGACTCTGTACAACAAATATGAGCTGACCGCCGGCGGTGGAGGACGATGTGGGATAACTCCTCTCCGCCCTGGGTTAGGTGAGAGGCGGAGGCTATAGCGAGGGAGCACGCAGCGTGGACGCGACGCGCTAATTGAACCGATCGGACAAGCTCGCGAAAAGGGAGTGGCTCATTGGCCGGTTACGCGCAGTCGCCCCGTGGTGCGTGAACGGGAGCGACCGGTAACGGGTTAGAAGCCAGCGCGCGCGATAGACAACCGAAACGGACGTATATAGGCGCGAAAGGGACGGGGCCGAGCTTGCCCCAGTTTACTGGTGGGGACGGGTGTCAGGTCTTAACCCCTCAGATGGACGCCTCGGACAGCTGTCCTAATATACAGTACCTGCCGCCTAGTGCGTACCAGGTACTGTACGCCATTACAAAACTAGCGCCTCAATTCCTAATTACCGCGCGGACGCTGCAGCTACACGTGTGTACTACTGTACACACGCGCTGTTTACAGACTACCGCACAGATGCCACGTGTGCTAGTGTACACGCGTAATACTAGCAGACTACCGCTTGGCCGACAAGTGCACTACTGTACACGTACGCCAGATTACGACCGCTCGGCACGCGCGCGCTCCCTACACGTGGGCACACCGGCCCACGTGTGCACCGTCACGGCCGTCTGTACTGTAGACCAACGAGCGGGCCGGTCGTTGTATCACAGACCCCCTTCCTTATCCGTCGCCACATCCTCGTGGCGACCCAATTTCCTTCCCAGCGGCCTCTTCCATCTTTTCCCTAACCTGCGCGCGCGATGACCGGACGGAAGCCTCTCCGCGCGGCCGACCACGCCTCGTGGCTCTTCACCGACCTGACGGTATATAAGTCAGGTATGTCGTCCGATTCAGAGAGTGCGTCTTCTGCTTCCTCCCACGCCAATCCCCCAGAACCACCAACTTCCACACAACACTCCCCCACACTTCACCACCACCTCCCATTCTTCCCCCGACGACAACATTCCCTTATCCCAGCTCTTCCGCCGACCAACCATGGACCATTGCAACACCCCCGCGGACGCGTCTCCGATCGGTGCGCCGTAGAGCCCCGGAAGGACTCCGGCGTTACCCGGGTCGATTCCCGCGTTTCAAGCGCGACTCACTCGCCGCGGCGAGACAGAGTCGACCACCCATTTGGCTGAGCCCGCGATGCGCTTGCGGGCTGATGCGTCCGATCCGGTCGCTCCGCCACCGATAGAAGAACGACCGACATGGCCCTTGCAGCCGCCCTCCGAGGGCGCGGCTCCAAGAACGGTTGAGGCAGGCCCGGCGTACCCCGCGGTACTGCCCCCGCCTCCCATGTCGCCGCTGCCTGCCGCGGGCACGGCGTCGCCAAGAGCCGACTTCGGGACTGTGCGCGAGACGCCGGCACCGCCGGCTGTCTTGCCCTCGCAGCGAACCGAGCGGGGGTCGACGCTATCGCTCGGGCGGGTCCTCACGACCCCCAGCGCGCCGAATTGGTTGAAAAGTGGCGTCAAGTCCGTCCGGTCGCTGCTGCCCGGGTCCTCGATGGACCACCGGCGGCGGCGAGCGCGGCGGCGCGCATCCGGTCGCAAGCCTCCGATGACGGTCGACGAATACGTGCAACGTCGTCTCTTGGACTCGGCGCGATTCCAGGCGGTCCCTGCGAGCCATGCCATCGTGACTCCATCCGGGCGCGGTAGCGTGGCGCAGCAGAATCAGGCAGGCGCTTGGCAGGCCCGATGGCGCCACGTGCCGTGCCGTACGCCCGCCGCGACTGGCAGCGACTTGCTCTACGTCCGGTGCGGTGGCGAGGAGCGGTACCACATCACGCTCCTCAACCTTTTCGGTCGGTACAGTCGCTACGATGGCGTCGTGCCGGATATCCGCTTGGTGGCCTTCCCGCGGCCCTTCAACCACTGGTACAGCGTCGCGGACCGTGGACGGTGGGGCGAGGATGCTGAGCGCGAGAGTCGGCTGCGCTGGCGCCGTGCGGATAACTTCTTCCACATGTGGCATAAAACGGAGTTTTTCTCGGTGCCCAGCGCAGCACGACGAGGCTTGTATCCAGAGCTTCCTCTGGACTGGCTGGACCTCGAGGCGCCGGAGCACCTTTGCGTGCTGACGCCGAGTGCGCTGGCCTACGTCGCGGCGCATTGGTTGCCGCGCGGTCGGGCGGAGTCGGCCGAAACGGAACGTACGCGCAAGCTTGTTCTCGAGGCGGTTCTCGCGCTGCTGTGCTTCCTTCGAGCCGCTGGCGAGGGGCTACCGTTCGTCACGAAGTGCCCCGACCCCCGGTTGTCCACGAGGCGGGACGAGCCGACCGGTAAGCGCGGCGTGCTTTTCCGCCTTTCGGCGGGGCTAATTGCCCTCATCCGTTCGGTCGGCGTCAAGGGAATCCTCGAAGGCTCTGCGTACGACGGAGCGCACGCGGACCAGCTGCTGACCTTCTCGACAAGTCTGGACTGGACCGGCCGGCCGGACTTCGTATGGTTCAGCTGGGAACGTGGCTGCGCGCTGGACATGCGGCCTTGAGGCAGCGCCGACGCCGGCCGGGGAGACCACGACGCGGCGTACGGATACGTTGACGCGGACGTCGTAGCTGAGGCACCGGCCGATGACGGTGACGGGCCCTCGCTCGCGATCGCTTCCGATACGGTGGCGCCCGTCGCTACGCCGGCGCTACCCGCTCCTGGAGGGTCCACCCGTGTGGATTCCATACAGAGCCACTCTCCAAAGGGGGTCGCTCAGGAGCGGCGCGACTTAAGACGTCCGGTCGCCGTGGCGGGATTTTCTGACCCACCCCCGGTCACTCAGCACATAAGCGCGGTGACCGGTGCGGAAACCGGATCGCGACCAACAACGATGCCGAAGCCTTCTGCAAGTCAACCGGCCGGTCGAGCTTCCCCGGAGCGCCTCCGGGAGGAGGCCGCGCTCACGGCGCTGCAGTACGCTTGCTCCTTTGAGGGGGCGGACGCTCCCTCATCGGTCGAAGCGGCGCTACTGCAGGCACGCGATTGGATGCTCCGGGTTCGGCAGCTCGAGAAGACCGTCGCGGTGTTGCAGGAATCCTCCGCCGCGGCGACGCGCGAGCGCGCCGAGCATCACGCGAAGTTGCGCTCCGTACAAGACTTCCTTGCGGTGGTGAGCCAACGCCTGGCGGCGCCTCCGATGCCTTCGTCGACGGTCGGGGCCTCGCCCCCCGCGCCCGACGACGTCGAAGAGGGGCCCTCGGCGAAGCGCTCGCGCCACTTCTAGACCCCGGCTCGCCGAGGTTCCCTTCCTTACAACGTAGTACAGTAGGGGCATCGCCCAGATTAAACGAAACCGTTTGTCGGTGCTCTTCTTCTTCGCCAACTTGCGCACTTAGATAGTACTTTGGGGCTACGTTTCCTCCCCTCCTAGGGTGAATAAAAATCGTAGCCCGGTTCCGCGAACGGCATCGCACGCGCGCGATCGAGACGGAGCCGATGGTACCGATACGGGAAAACCGCAAATAGGACGGTTTGGGGCGAAAATGCGCGAACGTAGCGCCTCCCATCGGTCGAATCGCGCTGCGATGCGCGTGCGAGCGCGAGCGTCCGAACGGTGCGCCGCGGTGCTGCTAAGCGCCACGTTACGCTTGAGTAGATCCTTCTCGTTGGCGCCTGCGCCAATATCGGTCTATGAACGGCTGCGGGAGCCCATCGGCGGGCTCATACGTGTCGTCCGAAGCGGTATATCCGTACCAGCGCACCTTGTACTGGGTCCCGCCCCGCGCTGTACGGTGTCCGACGATGCGGTCAACGACGTACTCTGCACTCGGGGCGGCCGCGGGAACCTCAGATTCGGTCGCCGCTGCGGGGGTGGCACTATCCCCGGCCCGCGTGGCATCTTAGTCACGCGGTCGATGCTCACGCGGTTCTCTACGCTGTCCTGCTCGATAAGGACCGTGGTATCCGTAGCGGAGCGCACGTTAAATGGACCCTCCGCCTTGGGCAACAGCTTGACGGAGAGGTCCTCCGTATCGGTCGGACTTTGCACACGCATACGACGCTCGACGCTTGTCAGCGTACGGGGCGGGCGATCCACGTAGACGAAATCGCCCGCCCTCACGACCGGACGGAAGCGGACCTTCCTGTCTAAATTATCCTTGTACTGCTTTTGCGATGCGGTGAGTTTCGTCCGTGCGCGGTCGAGAGCGTCGCGGAGCTTGCGCAGCGTGGCCCTCTTGTACTGCACCGGGGTCCGTGGGTCCTCCATGTGGGTCCCCGCGTCCTGCGGTACAGTACCGGGGAGGATCAAGCCGGTCGGTGGTCGCGTCAACACCAGGTCGAATGGAGTGGTCTCCGTCGACCGGTGGACCTGCGTGTTGTACGCGAAGGTCAGCGGTTGCACGTAGTCATCCCAATCCCGCTGGTGCTCCTCCACGTAGTGTCGGAGACGTTGCACTAGCGTGCGATTGAACCGTTCGGTTTGCCCATTCGTCTGGGGGTGGTAGGCTGTCGTGAGATAAGGCCTCACCCCCAGGAGGGCACATACCGCGTCGAAGAATTTCGCGGCGAACTGCGGGCCATTGTCGGTTAACATGTAGCGCGGCGCTCCGTAGACGTAGACCCAGTTGTCGAGGAACGCACTTGCGACGACCGAAGCGGTGGTGGTCCGTAGTGGTATGCTGTGGGTTAGCTTAGAGAACCGATCGGTAATGACCAGTACGTGCTGATTTCCGTGCGCGGTCTTGGGCAGCGGGCCCAGGAGGTCCATCGCGACAAACTCCATGGGGCCTGCCGCCGGGAACAGCCTGAGATCCTTCTGGTTCTTGAAAAGCGTCCCGCGGGTAGCAGCCCAAGAGGTGCAGTTCCGTACGGTCGCAAACGCGTCACTGGCCAGGTGCGGCCAGTAATACTCCCTTCGCAGGGTGTAGTACATACGCGTCCCGCCCGGGTGACCGGCCAGCCTCGGATGGTGTGCCAGGTACAGTACCCGGGGGCGCAACCGATTTGGTACGACGCGCTGTAGGGTTCCGTCCAGCGGGGACTTCCTTACGAGGAAACCGTAGCGGTCGACGTCGAACTTCGAGTTCGGCTCTCCGACCGTATCGGCCGCGGCGCGACAGAAGGCGTCGTCGGCCTGCTCGCGTAGGAAATTCGCGACCGAGATGGACGAGACGTCGCGTTCCTCGGGAGTAACCGCGAGCACGTAAAATCCGTCCGGACGGTCTTGGGTCAGGTCCCAGTGCACCTTGCCCAGGAGGGACGCACTGCCTTCCTGCGACTGGACAACGAAGCACGAGACCTCGTCATCGACCGGAGTGGTGTCTCCACCGTCGGTGCGTAGGCGCGAGACGCCATCCGCGAGTTGGTGCTTGACGCCTGGGCGGTACTGTACTTCGTAGTTGTACTCCGCCAAGCGCAGGCGCCAGCGAGCGAGCCGACCGGAACTGTCCGCTAAATTGAGGACCCAGCGTACGGCCTCGTGATCCGTGCGGAGGTTGAACGCGCTTCCGTATAGGTACGGTCGTAGCGTGAGGATGCTCCACACTACGGCCAAGCATTCCTTTTCGATAGTCGTATAATTGCGCTCCGCATTGGTCAACGCGCGGCTCCAATATCCGATCGGTCGAGTACCTCCATCGGGTTGCTCCTGTAGAAGGGCGCAACCCACTTGGTGTCCGCACGCGTCGGTGTCCAGCGTATATTTCCGTCCGTAGCGGGGCAGCGCGAGGATTGGCGGCGACACGAGGCGCCGCTTCAACTCCTCAAACGCCGCGTATTCCGCATCGGTTAAGACCTCGAAGTCGTAGGGCTGATTCTTGCCGGTATTCTTGTTGAGCGGCGCGGCGACCTTCGCGAATCCCTGCACAAACCATCGGTAAACGTTGCACATCCCGAGAAAGGATCGCAGTTCCGTTTGATTCGTAGGCGCGCGCGCGCGCTCGATCGCTATGACGTTGCGTCGCTCCACCTCCAACTGTCCCGGACGGATGACGTGCCCGAGATAGGTTACGGAGGTGTCGAAAAACCCGCACTTCGCCAATTTTAGCGACCCGCCCGCGGTATGTAGAAGCCGTAGTACCTCTGGCACGTCTGCCATATGTTCCGTAACGGTTCACGAGTAGACGATGACGTCGTCGAGGTAGACCAACGCGGTCTCCCATTTCACGCGGGACAGGATGATGTCGACCGCTCGTTGAAATGTCGCGGGCGCGTTTTTGAGAGCGAACGGCATGCGTAGAAAACGGTAGAGGCCCGAATGCGACGCGAACGTTGTTTTATCGCGGTCCTCCTCGGCGATCTCCACCTGCCATTACCCGCTATGACAGTCTAGCGTGGTAAAGACAGTGGCATCGCCGAGCGAGTCGATACATTCGCCCATGCGCGGTAGTGGGTAGGAGTCGCGAACCGTAACGGCGTTTAGCTTGCGATAGTCCACACAGAACTGCATGGTCCCGTCCTTTTTAGGGACGAAAACCACGGGGCTCGCCCACTCGGCCGATGTCGGTTCGATGACAGCATGCGGTCGATTTCCTTCTTCTCCTTCTCGCGCGCGATGGGTCCGGCTCGGTAGGGTGCTTGGTAGATCGGCTTTGCACCGGGCTTCAGCTCGATGCGATGCTTCGTAGCATCGATCTTACCCAAGTGGCCGGACCACATGTCCTTGAACTCGGACAGCATGTCCATAATTTCCGACCGAACGGTACTGTCTTCTGCGCCGATGTGGACGTCTTCTTCCCACGAGCGGGTCTTCTCCGCGTCCGTATCGGTCCGCTCATCCGCTTTCGCGGGATTCCCACTGTGGAAGTCGTCTTTTTCCGGTTCTTCGCGTCGCGCGCCTCCCGTAGCGGTGGAGGACTTTCTTCTGGCATCTTCCGTAACTGTTTGTTTGCGTCGCGCTTGTTCCTCCGTAGCGGTCGAAGAATTATTTTTGTTCCCTCCCCCTTCCTTAGCGTCGGCCTCTCCCGGGGCCGACACGCCAAGTGTCAGGACACGTGTGGGGGATGGTAACGCAAGACCGACAACGGTATGCTTGGGGACGTGGACGGCGCTGTTCCCAAAATTGCTGACCAGCACCGTAAACGGCTCGCCCGGGAAGAGGTCCATGACCCCCTCGGCCATCAAGCATAAATTCTTGTGCGCCGTTTTGGGGTGGTTTTGCAGGAAGCAGAGCCCCCAACCGGTGTTGCGACGCGTACCATCGCTTTGGTCATCGGGGGTATCGTGACCCCCTTGACCACGCTAAATTTCCGTGACGGTACGTTCGTTGGGAACTGCGCGCGCTTCCGGTCGGCCGAATTTTCCTCCTGCGGGAGCTGCTGCGACGGTCCCATCGAGGCCATCTTGCGGTCGTGCCTCGAGGGTGTGACTCCCGTCAGCGCTACGGACGGCGCATGATGGAACAGCACCTTCCTCCGCGGTGGTAGGATCGCCTTCACGTGGCGATCCAAGAACGTGGTTCCGAAGATACAGTCCACCGCGAGGTTGTTGACGACCAAGAACGGTACGCGCGCGACGAACTCACCAATCCGGACGTACAGTTTGAGCTCGCCGAGGGCCTTCATCGACCTATTCGAAGCGTCGATGAGCGGCGGGCTCCGCGCGGACTTGATGGCGGCGCGCCACGGCTCGGCTACACAACGGAGGTGTATTAGATTCGGGCCGGCGCCCGTATCTAGGACCGGTGTGATGGCGCACATCATCGCGCGTCGTTGTCCGACCGTTGCCGTGACCTTATAATTTTGCTTCTTGAAGAAGCAAATTGCCGCTTCGTCCGTTCGGCTCTGCGATTGCGCTTGTACCGAAGCGGTCGATGGGGTGCCTTGTTTATTGAGGCTTGGCACGGGGAGGATCGTCGACGCCTCTACGCGTCCTCCCCGGCTTCCCCCGTCAACCCAAGGTCCTCGGGCCCCTCATCCGTCAGCGGTAGCGTGGGTTCTTTCGATTGGACGTTCTCGCGCGGCTCGACCACGTTGATGCCCGTGGGAGCCTGCGCACGCGAATTTCGCCAAGCGGACGGCGGCTGCCGCTCGAATGGCGAACCCGGACGGAGACCTGGGCGGATCCGAAGCTTTTGATAATTGGCCTCGCGGGCCTGCAAAAGCTTCGACCGCAGCGCGCTATCCGCCACCACAGGACATTGCTCCTGTCGGTGGGTCAGGTCCAGACAGAACCGACACGGCGGGGGTCCAGGTAATCCTTGGTTGAAGAACCGGACCCGCTGGTTCTGTACTGGCCCTCCGTACGGATGTGCGCGCGCGTCACCGTGTTGGGCGGGCGCCATCGGTGAGCCCGCCGGGGACGAGGCAGGTGACGGATGGTAGCTAGTCGGCGGCGAGCTGCGCGAGCTCGGCGTCGCCGACTGGTCCGTCACCGCCAGTATCTCCTCCGTTTCGGTTCCGCGCGCTGTCGGGAGTTCAGATAGCGACTCGACCGACAGCACGGGCCTTGTCCGCGCGTTGCGCGTGAATCTTCTCACCGAATCGGACGGTGCTTGAGGCGACGCGAACGAGGTTGCCTGTCTTCGAGCCGAGCGGTGCGTCTCGCCTATCGCTTGCGCGTAGCGTGCCACCGCTTGGTAGTCCACGCCCGGATGCGTCGCGAGATAATTCCGCACCTGCGCGCACGTCGCTGGCAGAAGTCCCTCAACGAAAAGGGACATCAAGCGCCTGTCCGAAAATACGGTTCCGCAGCGCAACGCCTTGTCCTACAACTGGTTCCTGTACACCTCCTCCGTCATATTAGAGCTCTGACGGAAGGAGGTGACATCACCGACCGCTTCGGAAATAACTTCGTCCGTCGCGTACGTGCGTAATAAAAAGTTAACAACTTCCGCGTAGGTTTCGAGCATATCGCGCTGCTCCGCATCGACCGCCATGGTGTTCCCGTGTAGCCTGGACTGGAGCAAGGCGTGAGCCTGCCCAGTCAAATAGAACTGGAAACACCATACGGCCGCGCCTTCGCTGACCCCATTGTGGTCGCAGGCCATCTTGAAGCGCGCGAGAAACCCTAGCACCGCGATTGGATCTTGACCACCGAACGTGTGGGTTTTCAGCTGGACGTCCAAGTTCTTCCGATAACGGTTAACTCGCCGCGCGGTACTCGCGTCGTAGCGCGCGCTGCGATTTTCCAGCCTATACGTGCGGTAGTCGACGGCCTTGGTGAACAAGTCGTTCAGCGGCCTGATCACCGGCAACCGTTTCAGATCCCGCCTCGGGGCAGACCGGCGGTCTCTGCCCCTGCGATGGCGGTCTTCTCCGCCGCTGGGGCTACTGTGGCCGTCCAGGTCGGAGTCTTCTCGCCGGAACCGACGTCGGTCGCGCGCATTGCGACCTCTGCGGTCGCTTCTGCGCGATTCGTCCGACTCCGTGTCCTCGTCATCGGAGGGGTATCCACCTCCTCCGGCATCGCGGTATCGCGTATAGCGTCCTTCGCGGTTATCATCGGAGGGGTAACCGACCCCTCCGGCATCACAGTATCGCGCGTAGCGTCCGTCGCGGTTCTTGCGCATCGCCCTGTGGCGACGTCTTGGGTCTTCTTCCTCGGAGGGGATTTCTGTACCCTCCGAGTTGTAGCCTTGAGCGCCGGGTGCGCTTCTTCTGCTCGACCGATACGGCTGTCGCTTTTCTGTCGCGAAGCGCCCCAGGCGGTTTTCTGTCCCGCGGGGGCCAGCCGTATTGGCGAGTACAGGAGGGCCATTTTCTGTGGGCCCTTCTGTAGCACCATAAATTGGTGGGAGGTAAATGGTCTTACCCTCCGGGTGAGGGGCCATTGTACCGATCCCGAGTGCGGCGCCGATCGGTTCAGCGTGCGTTAGCGTAGAATCCGGAGCGGTTGAGTCGCGCTGCGCGCGTGCGTCGACTCCTGCTCCGGCGAAGATCGTGGCCAGACGATTGGCCACGGCGGAGCTGATCGCTCCCTTTAGAGCCGTACCGGACGGGGATTCTTCATCCATAGTGGCGAGCGCTGTCACCACCTCGCGTTGGACTAGAGCGGGTAGTAGCTCGTCCAAAAGCGGCGGTATCGCGCTGCGCACGTGCTCGTCTACGAGTGCGGGCACCGTTCGGTTGAGGCACACGCGCGCGACCTGGGGGAGTTCTGTAGTGAGGAACTCCTCGACCCAGGCCTGCAGGGGCGGCTGAATCGCGTCGATCATCCATTGGACGCGATTCACGGTGCCTGCCGACGCGGCCGGCGAAACATCCGATGCAGACGCTCGCGCACGGCCCGGTTGCGGTGGCGGCCGCAGCAGGGCTTCCGGGTTCTCCACCCGGGGGCGCGGTGCGCCACTGCCACTGCGGGTGCTCAGACGCCCGGGGGCGGAGTCTTCCCCTTCTTCCGGTCGGTTCATCGTCGAATACGCTTCGCGATTGACGCGGTGATTTCTCAACCTTTTCCGTCCGTACAGTTCTGCACGCGATCGAGCGACTACGCGTGCGGCTCAGCCTCTAGAGTTATTCCGTCCACAAGAGTACCAAAATGTGGGATAACTCCTCTTCGCCCTGGGTTGGGTGAGAGGCGGAGGCTATAGCGAGGGAGCACGCGGCGTGGACGCGACGCGCTAATTGAACCGATCGGACGAGCTCGCCAAAAGGGAGTGGCTCATTGGCCGGTTACGCGCAGTCGCCCCGTGGTGCGTGAACGGGAGCGACCGGTCACGGGTTAGAAGCCAGCGCGCGCGATAGACAACCAAAACGGACGTATATAGGCGCGAAAGGGACTGGGCCGAGCTTGCCCCAGTTTACTGGTGGGGACGGGTGTCAGGTCTTAACCGCTCAGATGGACGCCTCGGACACCTGTCTCAGTGTACAGTACCTGCCGCCTAGTGCGTACCAGGTACTGTACGCCATTACAAAACTAGCGCCTCAATTCCTAATTACCGCTCGGACGCTGCAGCTACACGTGTGTACTACTGTACACACGCGCTGTTTACAGACTACCGCACGGATGCCACGTGTGCTAGCGTACACGCGTAATACTAGCAGACTACCGCTTGGCCGACACGTGCACTACTGTACACGTACGCCAGATTACGACCGCTCGGCACGCGCGCGCTCCCTACATGTGGGCACACCCGCCCACGTGTGCACCGTCACGGCCGTCCGTACTGTAGACCAACGCGCGGGCCGGTAGTTGTATCACAGACGACAAGCACGGACTTGACAAGGATCCTCCACCTTGGTCCGCCCGCTTACTTTTAGGTACTTCCGTCCGTTTTACCTAGGAGTAGCACCGCGCGCCGGTTGAGGACGAGCGCAGCACGCCCACGAGCCGGCTCCGCCCGTCGGTACTGGATCGTCACCCAGTACCGCTCCGGGGCGTCGAGGCGGAGAACCGCTCGCGCGTGCGCGCGTCCTCCTCGATCCCGCTCTACCACCGCTACCTCGAGCCCGTGCTCGGTACCGTGGGTGGGCCGTGCTTCTGTGTTCCCGCCGATCGGGGTCTTTCCGA